CATCTCATTCAAGAATACCATTTAGTATCGTATGCGATATCCCATGCGATATCTAGGATCCTCGTTTCAAGAATAGGGTCCCAGGTTCAAGCATGACGCAATTCACTTGCAGGGGAAATGAATGCTGGTGAAGGAGACTCATGCATGACCGTTGAGTCTCACTTTTACCGCAGTATTAAGCTGGAACGCTCGGCGATAACACGTACGCGCTTTACAACAGTAAAACAGTAAAAATGGAACATATTAATGATGGTAAGACAAGATTTTGAACACAGGTTAAACACACGTGGAGAAGAAATAGTTTTTAATCAAAGTAATGGATTTTTCAAAGAGTAAATCTTATTGTTAGATGAGAAAAGTGGTCTTCAGGAAGTTTCGATTAAATTTAATAATATAATTTCAATTGAGTGATCGAAGTGTCATGCGTTATACTAATAAGTGCAATAGTATCTGAGTTTATATTCAAGATATATTTCGTGTCATCGATCTTTATTTATTTCCATTGGGAGCAAAAAGTGAATTATATAAACCGCGAAAAATAAATACTTATTGATTCTTGCCTCGTGGCTTTAAGGTGGACTTCTGTGCAATACAGTATCGGGAAAAATCTGACTTGGCGACAAATCTGTTTATTGAAACACATTCTCGAAATTTCTACTGTAGGGATAAAGACAAGATATGAAGCAACACAAAAGTACCTAACCTTTTCTTTCCCAGCAACTCAATACATTACTACTCACCTTTGCACATTTACTTTACATTGTTTATATACTATTATTTACATGATTACTTACACATTAATTATATAAAGGCTGTGTTTAAAAAATTCACTGTCAGTGCTGAAAATCTATAGTGCACATATGCTATAAATTTTAGAACACAGTTGTAAATAAAATAAGTTTCTTAGATATAGCGGAAAAATTTAAGAGTTAACTGTACTGTACTAGACCTTGTACTGAACTGCACAGCAACTATACATGATTATATTAAAACAAGCACTGTTTCATAAAATTATTAATCACCTCAGTTTAATTATGTTATTAACTATCATAATTTTACATCAAGAACTACATCATTCTTTTTAGTTGACATTAGCAATAACAATATATTGAATTTTGTATTTTTAGATACCTCAAAAATAACATATTCACTTCTCCAGTAAATTTCAGTAAATTATTAAATAAATATATGTTACAAAATCGTTTATTTAAAACACGAATGAAGAAGAACAGCAACGCGCGATGCTTTATTCTGTTCGAGTGAAAGCATTTGCTGAGCCAGTGCTGAAAATATCCCACTATTTTACTCCTCTTTCTCTTTCACAATCAGAGTTCAGTGACGCTCAACATAAAATCATTGCCGTGTTACTGCGTGACGCTCAACATAAATCATTGCTGTGTTCTGTTTATCAAGTTATTAAGATAAATTTTAGTTATTAAGATCAAATCATCTAAAGTAACAAAAACTTGAATAACTAAAATTAATCGTACGTTGGTTTGTGCAAAAATTGATGCACGAGAAAATTCTGCAGTATCTTAAATTAATTCGACACATTATTTTGCAGTTAAAAATATTCAAATGTAGTCATCAAAAAGTGTATAACTTAGGAGAGACCGGGGCGGAGTCGTCACTACAATTATCTCGAAATCTGTATGTTGTATGAACTCGCCATTAATAGTAAACTCTACTTATCATGAGTTTCTAATATTGATTTCAATATATTTCATGAGCGATTAAACTTAAAATCTGTGTCCGGGGCGAAGTCGTCATCAAGCCACCGGGACGAACTCGTCACTGTGACGAGATTCCCACTGTCCCTATCTACTATCTAGCGAAACCACTGCCAAGGGAACGGGCTTGGAAAAATTAGCGGGGAAAGAAGACCCTGTTAAGCTTGACTCTAGTCTGGCACTGTAATCGACTTTATCCCGGTGGTTTCACTCTATTTTTTTGTTGCAAATGTGAGTCATTGTATTTCTTAACTGCAAGAAAATGGTACGCACGTACCATCGCAAAACGACTCCCGTCGATAAGAAGCAACTCAGGAAGGCAGTTCTTGCGGTGAAAAAAAAAAGATAAAATTAAGACAAAAGTAGCCGCAAAACAATTTCGAGTTCCGAGAACTACGTTGAACGACTGACCGAAGAAGAATAATGATGAAATAGCACATTTGGATGACGTGGCCATACGATATCATTGAGGCTTCGGGCGAAAATCAAAGTCAAGGAAGCAGCAGTGGTCGGATTCCGACGAGGACGGATAAGATTGGGGACGATAATGAGGACGAGATTGGATAATATGAGGCTGCGTGTGCTCAGAGATGACAGAGAACAAAGCATTTCGTGCAAGCATAGGGCACATATAAGTGCGTGCGCTTTTCTTGTAATTATTTTCCGCCATCGTGTTTTTAATTAAAGTTTCCATTTTTCTATTAAAAAATAATTAATAAAATGTATCCTATCATTTTTCATGATCGGAATTAAGAATTTTTATTTAAAATCCAGCCCGAGAATAGAGTAACGACTCCGCCCCGACAATTTTGACATTTCAATTTTTGCATCTTTGTCGTTTTTACTCTATACCGGTTGAACAAAGCAACATAGACCAAAAATGCCCGCATAAATTTTGTAGCCAAGGGTTTTCTTTACAACGGTATACCACATTTTACTAAAATTATTTGTTTTGTTGTTAAAAATCGGCATCGAAAAAATAGTGACGACTTCGCCTTGGTCTCCCCTATATTAATGTAAACACGATTTACATACTTGCAATTAGAAAAAAATTGACCGTGCCGAGTTGAGATAATTGAAATCAAGGTTAATACTTTTTACATGTATCATAGGTACAAAAACGGCTTCCGATATTATGTTTCTAATTGTAGCAATCAAACTACTCTTGCGACTTTTATGAAAAAACAAGAAGACGATAGAAGAGACTTGTAAAAATATACTTACAAACATACAAGACCTTTGACCGTCTAGTTTCGAAGTAATTGATACTTAAAGTACACAATTTCTGATACTAGCGGTGGACGCATATGACAACTAACCTTTGAAGTTAGCCTTGTTAGCCTTCTCACTTGAAATTGCACGCGTATCGGAGCATATTCAGAGCGCGTGCTCCGTCTCTAGATATTCGTTCATCATGACTGTAAGAGTATCCTCACAAAACTCTCGTATAGTAAATTCAGTGTAACGTAACGTGCATGGGTCAGCGCACGAGAAACGTATCGGTTAAGGCGTTATACGTTTTTTGTGCGTTGATCTACGTTTCTTTACGCTACATTACTATACGAAAGTCTTGTGCGGAAGCTCTTAATTACTCGGCAAAGTTCTTCTAACATATATTTTAAGAATATTTTAAAATAATATATTTCCAATAATTAATTAATTAATGATATAATCTTAGGGTGTATTAATTAATAATATAATATCAGGGAAAGTTACGTTTGAAAAGTAACTCGTTACCGTAATTCGTTACTCATTGAAAGAAGTAACTCATCGTTACCCGCGTAACTCGTTATTCTCATTGAGAAAAGTAACTCGTTACCGTTACTCGTTATACTCATTGAAAAAGTAACTCATCGTTACTGTATATAACTCGTTATTCTTATTGAAAAAAGTAACTTGTTACCGTTACTCATTACTTATTGAAAGAAATAACTTATCGTTACCGTTACATATTAAACAGATAGAAACAAAATAATTGGATTACATGAAAAAAGGCTCATAAAAGAATCAAAGAATTTTCAGAGAAATTTCAAATTTTATCAATAATATTTTTTAAATATAAAATATGAAATATTTTGTAACGTATTGACTTTTCGATTGACTTTACTTCGATACTTTTATACATAGAATAATGAAAGGAATCGATTGTTGTAAAAAGAAAACAGAAAAAATTAGGTAATTGTTTAGATGAGGGGGATCACCTTGGATGACCTTGATATTTTAGTATGTTGTCAAGGTCACCCTCCTGAGTGACCTTCATAAGGTTTCAGCCCGCGCTCGTTATTCGTTAAAAAGTTATTAACAAAAAAAGTTTGGAAAATATAGCAGCTATTTTGAGTATTGGAAGGCATAAATGACTAATATTATGTTTTTTTTTAAAACAGAAAATACTTTATTTCGCAAGAAAGTCGCTGCTTTACCAAAACACAACATTTAAAGCAGTAAATTGTTGATAAATTGAAGTCTTTTTGTTAAAGCAAAGAATACTTTATTATAGGTTAGTGATGCGCTTTAAACACTTAAATACTTTTAAAGCGCGTCACTAATCTACATAGGTTAGTGACCTAAGTAGGTTAGTGACGCGCTTTAAAAGTATTTAAGTGTTTAAAGCGTGTCCACTAACTTATGTATTATAGGTTAGTGACGCGCTTTGAAAGTACATACTCTCTATATTCTCTACTTTAAATAACTTTCCTTTCAATATATCAACAATTCACTGGTTTAAATAATTTTCCTTCGTTCATATATATATACTATTTCCACATAAATATCAAATATTTATGTCTATTAGTACTCAAAATAACTGCTATATTTTCCAAACTTTTTTTGTTTATAATTTTTTAACAAATAACGAGCGCGGGCTGAAACCTTCTGAAGGTCATTCAGGAGGGTGACCTTGACAACATACTAAAATATCAAGATCATCCAAGGTGATCTCCCCATCTAAACAATTACCAAATAGTATATTACACTACAAGGGCCGAAAGTTGAATTTTCGGCCCTGCGCGTTATGATGCCCCGAGGCGAAGCCGAGGGCATCATGACGAGCAGGACCGAGATTTCAACTTTTGGCCCGCGTAGTGTATACGATTTTTCTTCATAGCCGGTCGAAAGTACGTTATTAATTTTACTTTTTTTAACTTTAAATGTTAATAAGAATGTTTTTGATGCCTGCCCCCGACATTTGCGGCACGAGCGAAGCGAGTGCTGCTGGTCGGGGGGGGCAGGCATCAAATACATTCGAAGAGTCAAGTCTTGTCATATTTTGTAAAAATAAATTCACGTGCGTGCCAACGGGGTGACCGTTGGTATGTGTGTGCACGTGTGTCGCGCGGATTCGCACGCCAGGACGATCGATAAGCCGTCCGTCGTCGGGATCGCGTCTTCCGGCCGGGGAACGAGACGCGGATCGTCGGGAAGCCCGGCACGTGCCGGCACCGTTCCCTCGAGCCTACAAGCCGGCGAAAACCTAACCTGCAAAGGCAACTGACGCCTCGAGCCTACGCTTCGAGAGGTACTGGAACGTAATCTCGAAGTTCCTATCCGGTTCGTGTTACCGCCGTATAGAGAGCGCGCGTATACTTCTCACAGGGAGTAAATGTTAAACTTTCGTCCCTGCTATTAGGGACGAAAGTACGTACTTTCGACCGAGGTATAAAGAAAAAATTATTTTAAAAACTTTGATTGCATTTTGTAGACGCATTTAATTTGCAAATTGCAAATATAAAAATTAATATTATTATTCGATTTCTTTCACCATTCTGTGTATAAAAATATGAAGGTAAAGTCATCGAAAAGTGAATACTTCACGAGATATTTCATATTTTATATTAAAAATATCATGATATAATTTGAAATATCAAAAAATTTTTAACAAAAGAGAACTTTATTATAGTGTAAAAAAAATCATACAATTCTATTTAAAAAAATAGAATTTTATATGACGATGATTTTGTGACCTAAAAAAATTAATTTTAAAAAATATGATTTTACTATTATTTGTCCTCCAAGTCATACAACTTTCGTCTAAAACGTTTTTTCCTAAAACTACATGAGATATCGATATTTGACTGTTCAAATTACATCCAAAACTTTTTCATTTTTGATTGTAAAAAAAAATTGCTTTAGACAAAAGTTGTTTGGTTTGAAAAGAGGACACATGATTCTTATGTGAGTTATGTCGTAGATGTTGTTTTTAAGAAATTTTAAAGGCGACTAATTTGTTAAATAACTCGATTTTGCCCTTGAGAGAAAAGTTGTAGATCTCGTCGAGACGTTTTCGAAACACTAATAAATCTCTCTTTCGTTAAAGATTTCTTGAGATATTTTAAATTTTTTTATAATATTTTTATAATATGAAATATGAAATACATCGTTAGTCTCTAAAGTATTCACCTTTCGACTACTTTACCTTGACACTTTTGTATATAAAATAATGAAAGAAAGCGTATATAATAATAAAATTAATTTTTACATTTGCAATTTTGCAAAATTGAATGCGTTTACAAAATATAATCAAATTTTTTAAAATTATTTTTTTGTTCTATTTTTACAACAATCGATTTCTTTCATTATTTACGTATAAAAGTATCAAGATAATGTCATCGAAAAGTGAATGCAGCGTAACGTAACGTAAGTCAGCGCACGAGAAACGTATCGGTTACGACGTTATACATTTTTTTTGTGCGTTGACCTACGTTACGTTACGCTACATTACTATATAAGAGTCTTGTGCGGAAGCTCTTATACTCGGCAAAGTTGTCAAAATACATATTTTAAGAATATTTTATAATAATATATTTCAAATGAATAAATAATTATTTAATAATATAATATCAAAGTATATTAATTAATAATATAATATCAGGGAAAGTTACGTTTGAAAAGTAACTTGTTACCGTATTTCGTTACTCATTGAAAAAGTAACTTATCGTTACCATATATAACTCGTTATTCTTAAAAGAAGTAACTCGTTACCGTTACTCGTTACTCATTGAAAGAAGTAACTCATCGTTAGCGTAACTCGTTACCGTTATTCGTTACTCATTTAAAAAAGTAACTTATCGTTACCGTAACTCGTTATCCTCGCATTGCAAGAACGCCGAAAGAACGGTTTTGCTGAAGATTCTAAAAATTTAGCTAGATACAGATCTGAAAATAATTTAATTATATTTTGTTGCACCATCAAAATAATTATGTAAAACGTTCAAACTGATTTCTAAAATGTCAAAATTTTTTACAAAATTATTGATGCATCCATGTAAAAAGATAGAATTGCAAATTATATGATTTTTCAAATTATCTGATAATTTTCATTATTCCGTGTATAAATATGTTAACGCATTGCAGTTCAAACCCAGACGGTAGAGGAACATTTTAAACTTATCCTAGAGGATAACAGCGTGATTGATCCAAATCTGCGCGATGTAACATCTAATGATCTCCCTGCCTGGTACAACAAAAATATATATAAAGGGTAAGTATCTATACGTTGATTTAAGATGTTAAAATTTCAACATATCGGTAATAATATTTATTGCAATGATTCATGAAGTAAGCAAGAAAATTGTTTTTTTTTTTATTAAATATAAAGAAAAAACACCAAACATGGAAAAGATGAATAATATATTTACAAAAATATGATTATAGAGCTATTGAACATTTTCAATCTTACAATTAGGGCTACGTTCAAAATATTTATATTCTTGGATAATTAGTGCTATGTTTTGTGTATAAACATTAATGATTTAAAACTTGAGAAAATTTTAGGATGTTCTGGTGTATCAAATAATGTGTATATTAAATATAATGTGCATGCAAGTTAACGCTTATGTATTTATATACATACATAAATACATACATACATACATACATACATACATACTAACAGAAAAGTCCAGAAACTGCCTCCAGGCACACAACACACACACACACACACACACACACACAGGAATATGTGTATATATACATATATGTATCTCTCGACTATTTGCGTATCTTATTACATATGTCCTCCGGGGCGAAGCCCGGATAACCAGCTAGTATATATATATTGTATATATATACATACATACAGAATGTCCGGTAATTTTTGACAATGTTGAAGTATAAAGATAGATTGGCTTAAATTGAAAAGAAAAGTTACGTACCATTTTGCAAAAATTGCAATATAGTTATTGCGTTATTAACTAAAATGTCTGAGCAAATGAGAGCATGAGAAGCCGTATGCCGGACTCAAGGAAACCTCGCAAACTCGAAAATTTTGATTTTAATAAAACTTTCCAGACATGTAAGGGGAGTAAAAAGAAGAATTTAAATATTTTTTGTAGTTGCCCAAAAACGGTTCACAATAATCTTTTTAAAATAAGCATTGCGTATTTGATATTTATAATATTTTAAAATATAACATTTAATTTTAGAGCTCAAAATTATTATAAGCGGAACTTGCTGTCAATAATAGCGGCAAGCACAGTAGGACTTATAATAGTATTTGCAGTGGAGACAATACTAAAGGTATTAAAATTTTATATATTTTACAATATATACATTTGTTAAAATAACTATAAATAATTGAGTTATTGTATAGTAATCTAGATTCTTAATTTTTTCATATTTCGATGTAATCGTAATCTCAGCATAAAGAAAATTTGTTGCAAGAAGTAAAAATATTATTTATCGAGGGTTTTTTTGTTCCCTTAACAGGTACTCTTGTGCACAAAACGAAGTAGTTCGACCTGTTTGGCTTTTAAGAGATATGTAGAAACTCTGCAGCATCTACACAACATATCTACGTGCGATCCAGCTGATACCAATTCCAAGTAAGTTTCTTCAAATCATATAATTATTACTCATATTTCCCAGGTCTTTATTATTCACGATACAAACAAAAAACCACAAGAAATTTATTCTTGAAACGCAATCACATCTCGATCTATATTAATATGTAAATTATGTATATGCAAAGCACGTTGGAGATTTATATACAAAGAAGAATAAAGAAACTACAGCACATAATGATTTTACTTGATCTCTTTGATCTCGCGATCGTAATAGATATTATATAACATAAGTATCATTATGATATTGCGTAGTAACCAAAGATGTGCATTATTTGAAATAGATTTGAAATAAAAATACAAAATAAAATGCTGATTTTGTATTTTGCATTTAAGATACATTTTTTCAAAAACTATTTTAAATTTCCATTTAAATGGTTTTCATTGCCCATTTTTTATTTCATGTGCATTTTTCTTCCAAATTAAAAATCGCGACATCAGTAACATTGTTTAACAAAAAAAGTGCACAAGAACAAGAATTAAGTTAAGTTTGAATAACATAATTAAAAATATTTCAGATACTTAATGGCTATGTAAGACGCAACTTGTTCTTCTGAAACCATTCACTTCTAAACAGCATTGCAATCAAAATATAATATCAAAAGAATAATTAAATGTCTGTAAACAAAATGTAGGCAAACATTTTTTGAATATGTAAATGTTTATAATTCAATTTTTGTAATTTAAGTTTATATTAAAAGAAATAAGAATTTAAGTAAGAAATAATAGTAAAAAAATATAAATAATAAATAATAATAATAAGTGAAACAGGACCGTCGATATACAATTAAAATTAAAGAGACAAATGCCATTTACGATCCGGACTGGATAAATAATAAAAAAATAAAAATTTAAATATAAATAAATATATAAATATAAATATTTTAAAAAATTATTTTTATTTTTTAAAACTATTTTAAAAATGCCTGTTTTCTATTTCCTATTTTAAATGGTTGTTTAAAAAGCATTTTGTATTTTGCATTTTTAAATAGAAAGGTTTTATTTAACTATTTTGCATTTTCTACTTCAAATGGGTTTGGACACTTATTTTGCACATCTCTGGTAGTAACATACTAATCCATATGAATATTTCCAAGCATATAAAGAGTATAGAATATTATTTTTTCTTTGTAAAATTCTTTGCAATATTTGTTTGTAATATTTGAATGTTTGATATTTCAAAAATACTAAATAAATTCCGTTCAAATAAAGGCTTGCGGCCTGTTTGCACTTTTTGGCCGATTTTGCTTACTGTCATCCTTACTCCACTCGGTATTCTATAGGTATCCATTCTAGCATCATAGATAGTCCCTCTAATTAGAGTCTGGCCAACTTGCAGTTCTGGCAAAATTCTGCGAGAGAGGCGAGGATATAAGAGAGAAAGAGAAAGCGATATACATTCATATCGCTTTTGCTTTCTGTTTCTTATATCCCTTTCTCTTTCTGTTTCTCTTGCTTTTGCCAAGAAATAGCGAACTAGACTCTGATTAGAGGGACTTTACTGCTCGCGAAGACGAAAGACTCGAGCTCAAGGATGGTATTAGCTGTAAATCATATGAGGTTTCGGTGCGTGTTGCCCTGTGCGCTGTTTTTTAATAGAATTATTAATATTATTATGTTATAGAGTTAAGAGTAACAGTAAAATGAAAATGTATGTCAATTGTGTACACATATATTAATAATTCTATTAAAACAACAACACGCACTAGAGTATAGGAACTCTAACACGCACCAAAGCCCCATGATTTACAGCTAATACCATCCCTGAGCCTGCTGAGCTTGAGCGTTTTTCGTCTCCGTGAGCAGCCTAGGACCTAGATGCTACGAACCGAGAGAAGTGGGGATGGCAATAAACAAAACCGAAATATGCAAACTGGTCGTT